ACGGGTTCGAGACCCGCCTGGGCAACTTGGCGAGACCTCATCTCTACAATAAATCAAAAAATTAGCCGGGCATGGTAACTCGCGCCTGTAGTTCCAGCAACTTGGAAGGCTAAGGTGGAAGGATCGCTGGAGTCCAGCAGGTCAGACTGCGGTGGCCGGGAGCGGCCACTGCACTCCAGTCTGGGAGACAGAGTGAGACTTCAACACACACAAAAAAAGAAACAATATATTAAGAGGACAGAGGATTAGAATGTTTCTCTATAAAAATAATAAGCATTCCTATGTCTCTCTAGCTGCACTATAAAACTTGCAAAGTAATGTCTGCTAAGCTTCAAATTTCACAGCAATTTCAATACATTTTCTCATTTGAACTCTTCATGTCTACCTCCCACTACGCAAAAGACAAGCATAACCTTGGTAGACTTTTACAGATAAGGAAACTGGCACTTAGAGAAGCTAAGTAACTTGCCCAGTCCTTCAATATAATATTCTATACTTTTTTCACCCACACAAATTAATTGTGAGTTTACTTGCATTTCTCATTCATCTCTAAGACTAGATAGATTATGAGTCCATGAGAACAAAACTGTGGATGTTCTTCACCTATCATATACCTCACTTGTTCCTATAACTGAAGTTTTTCAAAAAGAATATTTAATAGGGCTAGCACATTTTATAAATCTTAGAAATACAAAAAATCTTCTAACTGTTTCATCCAATGCAATTATCTTAAAAGATTATGGAACATACAGGCATGCTGCTGCTGCAAAATACTTACAACATGAAATCTTGTTCCCAGGAAGGCTGATCACCACGAACTGCTACAGTTGTGCTCTTCACATTCTGTACTTTCAGGGTCACATATGTATTAAATTTATCTTTTTAAAAAAATGCAAAATGGAGATGTTATACTTAGATTGTTGCCCAATCTCATATTGTAACCCAATCTCATATAGTAAGCCAATGCTAAAATTATTATCTAATCTCATAAAGTACTTGCAATTAAGTAATATCCAAAGTAAAATTGTACATTATAGCCTCATTCAAGGAATAGCAGAGTTGCAGAAATTATAAAACTACACACTATCTACAAGAACATAATATGTTGTTTTCCAAACTTTAAGGAATGCATTTTATATATGACAAACCAAACAAAAACACACATACACAAACTAAAACAAAAGCTTCATGAACCACAAGGTATGACATTATTGAATTTCCTATTCTAATTTATTTAATCTATTAAAATGTCAATCATAACCTATTAAACTGATTTTATAGCTAACTTACAATCTAGGGGGAAAATCTCTAATTGATCTAGTAAGAAAGATAACAACATACAAATGCAATAAAGTATAGCAAGAGATAAATACCATAGGTTAAAAATTAAAAATGATAGAGAGTCGGGCTCGGTGGCTCAGCCTGTAATCCCGCGCCTTTGGGAGGCTGAGGTGAGTGGATTGCCTGAGCCCGTGGGTTCGAGACCCGTCTAGGCAGCAAGACCTCATCTCTACAATAAATCAAAAAACCAGCTGGGCGTGGTAGTGCATGCCTGTAATTCCAGCTACTTGGAAGGCTGAGGCAGAGGGATTGCCAGAGTCCAGCAGGTTGAGGCTGTGGTGGTAGGGAGCGGCCACTGCACTCCAGTCTGGGTGACAGTGTGAGACTCCAACTCAAAAATAAATAAATAAATAAATAAAAATAAAAATGATAGAGAACAGCAGAGCTGTTGACAGGAACAAGAATTGAGGGGAAATCTTCACAAAAGAAGATTTCAACCTTCATCTATTCAGTTTGGCCTAAAGCACAAGTTACATTTTTAAAAATATACATATTATCATAGAGTTGAGAAAAGGAAATTCTATAACCTGAGAATATATGCTGAGTACTAAACAAAGGTGGTGGCCTGGAGCTCCAAACTCAAGAGTCTGACCTAATACTTAATACAGCACATCCAGCACTCATGCTGCTATATTCGTATCAGTCATGATTAGGGGCTTTGAATCAAGGGTTTGCTTTTTTTTAATGTAAGAAATTCATCATAATTTTACAAAATGAAAAAATAGCAAACTACCATTTTTTACTCAATTAATTAGCAAACATTGCTTGAAATGATTACCTAATATTACAGAATATGTGAGAAAATGAGCCCAATCACACACTTCCAGCAGAAGGTAAATATTTCTTTTAAATATCATTAAACATTGTGTAGTTTTATACTTATCAACTCAGAAAGTTTACAATTATGCTAAAAGCCCACACAGGAGGGGAATCCCCATCCATATTCAGTAGTAGTCGTGCACAAGACTACTGAGCTATGTTTTATATCATATGACCCTATATTCCAACTCCCATGTCCAATCACACATAGTTGACCAGACCAAGGGTACATACAACCCAAGACAGCCAATCCATGGGCTGGCCAAATGTTCGTGAAATCAATCTGACTTCCTCTCAAAAGATTTTAAATAGAAAAAATATATATATATTGACAATCGGTGGTTGGTGCTGAAGCTGGAAGAAACAGCATATAAATTCCATTGGCACCACTAGTATGGGCCTTGTGCAAGATGAGTAAAGGACAGAAAGACAGCTAGCTGGAAGAGAAAGAACAGAGCAGATTTTCAGAAAAAAAGAGAAGTCCTAACCCAGAGCCAGTAAAGAGAGTAGCAGGCTCAGAAACTGCTTCATTCCAGTTGTACCCAACATCCAGTTTTTCAGGTTTTCCTGGATTCTTAAGTGTGTTCATGTTTTTCCAGTAAGCCCTAGGCCCTCTCCTTTTTCCCCCCAGCAGTAACAAGAATAAGTCTTGCTGACATGATACTCACAATTAAGGAAATGCAAATTAAAATAAAGAGATAATATTTTTCAACTTCAGATGGACAAAGATTAAAAAGTTTCACATTATCTAATGTTGATAAGGATTTGGAAAAACAAATACTCATATACTTTTGGTCTCAGTATAATCTAAAAAACACTTTCAGAAGAGCAATTTGGCAGCAGTTACCACATTTTTGAAAAATACAAACTTTTTTTTTTTTTTTTGCGTTGGAGTCTCACTTTGTCACCCAGACTGTAGTGCAGTAGCTGCTCCCGGTCACTGCAGCATCGACTTGCTGGGCTCCAGCGATCCAGCCACCTCAGCCTTCCAAGTAGCTGGAACTACAGGCATGTGCTACCACACCCAGCTAATTTTTTATTTATTGTAGAGATGAGGTCTCGCCAAGTTGCCCAGGCGGGTCTTGAACCCGCGGGCTCAGGCAATCTACTCACCTCAGCCTCCCAAAGCGCTGGAATTACAGCCTGAGCCACCAAGCCCGGCTTGAAAAATACAAACTTTTGACACAGCAATTCTACTTCTGGACTCTAGCATACAGATATATTTGTAAAAGCAGGCAATGATAAATGCACACGAACATTTATTGCTTATAATAGCAAAAATAGTTGGATATGGTGGCTCACACTTGTAATCCCAACTCTTTGGAACGCTGAGACAGGAGGATTGCTTGAGGCCAGGAGTTTGAGACAAGCCTAGGCCACACAGTGAGATGTCATCTCTACAAAGAATTTTTTAAAAAATAGCCAGGTGTGATAATGCACACCTACAGTCCCAGTTACTCAAAAGGCTGAGGCAGAAGGATCATCTGAACCCAGGTCAAGGCTGTGGTGAGCCATGACTGTGCTGCTGCACTCTAGACTAGGTGAGAGAGTGTGACTCTGACTCAAAAAATAATAATAAGTAATAATAATAATAACAAAAACTTGTAAACAACCTAAATATTCAGTCAGGAATCCAGGTAAAAATCTACAACAAAATTCTGTACAGCACCTTAAAAGAAAGAACCAGACATACATACATACACACAAACACAAACTTTCATGATGTATTGTTGAGGGGGAAGTAGGTTGCACAAAAATATGTCGCATGATCCATTTGTATATGCATGCATAGACACAGGCAAAAGTCTAAAAAGACAAGCAAAAAGCTCCAAAATACATAATTACTTTTGAGAAGGAGAACTGGGTTAACCACAAGTCCTGGGCAGCGGGACCTCATCTCTACAATAAATCAAAAAATCAGCCGGGCGTGGTAGTGCATGCCTGTAGTTCCAGCTACTTGGAAGGCTGAGGCAGAAGGATCGCCAGAGCCCAGCAGGTCGAGGCTGCGGTGGCCGGGAGCGGCCACTGCACTCCAGTCTGGGTGACAGAGTGAGACTCCAACTCAAAAAAAAAAAAAAGAAAACTAATTTTTCACTAGTTAAATATATATATATATATATATATATATATATATATATATATATATATATACTTACTATATATATATAATATTTATTATATAGATAGATACTTCAATGTTTTATAACAGCATTGATTTTAGTATTTAGTGAACTAACAAATTATATTACTGAATTTGATCAATGAAATTGATAATTTTTTAAAAGACTGCTTTTAAACCACAGCAAGTATGGGAGGAAAGGACAGAATAATGGAAGGCTAGCCTTACCTGGTGAACCCTGGAATTTGGCTCTTTTAACTGTAAGAGAAAAAAAAGAGAATATCATAAAGAATTTTTGCAAATTCCTTTTACTTGACCAACATTTCTTGGCCATCTACTATATGCCAATGTTAGACTTAGGATTAGATTGTTAAATCTAATTTTTGAGCAAAGAAGCTGCAATTGTTAAGAGGAGCTCTTATTGATGCAATCATAAAGAACTATTTCTAAAAAGACACCCACACTGGAAATGCACATGTCAGCTCCTAGGAAAGATCAAAGACCAAACATGCAGGAAAACCACTAAATCCCAGAAAGCACCAAGTATTTATCAATGAAGAATTAGGGTTAAGTGCCACATTGGGAAAAAAGATAAAAGGAAACCCTAAGACACAATTGCTGGAAAGGACATCTAGGGTATAGACCTGCCATTCTCCTTGTCCGGCATTACAACTGAAAGTTTCACCTTCGTTGACATCCAAGCCCTGCTTAATACTTCCAAATGATGAGTCATTCAGTATCTTTCACAAGGCCCTCTCCATTTTCAGGAAGCACTTATTGTTAAAATCTGTTTATTTTTATTGAATAAAAGTATATCTCCCACTGGAGACTGCTCTTTGTAGTCTCATTTCAACTCAAATTCTCTTCCCAATTAGTATTTTTTTTGTCATAAATGTATAGAAAGTACAAATCTCTCTTAACAGCCTTGCCAAAGCTACCTTAAAAAGATGACGCTTTGAAATTATTAACTGATCGATAAGTATAAATTTGCCATTAAGCTATTCAATAATACAATAATAATAATGGTTCTTTTCTACAAAAAATTTGCAATCTACTGAGGCAGTGAATATCAAACTTGAGCATACATTAGAATCATCTGGAGGACTGTTAAAGCACAGAATATTGGGCCCCATTGCCTTGGTTTCTGGATTTAGTGGAGTGCAGTGTGGCCTGAGAACCTATATTTCTAACATGTTCCCATGTGATATTACTGGCATTTAGTGGCTAGAGACCAGGGATACTGTCAAACATCCTAAATTGTCCTGTGCACAGGACAGTTCCCCAGAGCAAAGAATTATCTGACCTAAAATATCAATAGTGCCAAGATTGAGAAACCCTGAAAAAGAGCATGAAACCAAGAATTTCAAGGATGAAGTAATGAATAAAGGATAAAGTAATTAGGAAAATTCTTCAGGGAGAAGTACCTTTGAGATTAGTCTTGAAGACTCAGAATCCAGATAAGTAAGAAAGAGAGAAGGAAATGATTTCTAACAAGGAAGTGAAGTGAGACTTAGAGTAGGCCGGCACGGTGGCTCAAGTCTATAATCCCAGTACTTTGGGAGGCCGAGGTGAGACTTTGGGAGGCCAAGGTGAGAGGATTGCGTAAGCCTAGGGGTTTAAGACCAGTCTTGGACAACATGGCGAGATCTCATCTCTACAATAAAAAAATAAAAAATTATCCGGGTGTGGTAGCACACACCTGTAGTTCCAGCTACTTGGAAAGCTGGGAAAGCTGAGCCCAACAAGTCGAGGCTGAGGTGGCCATGAATGAGTATGCCACTGCACTCCAGCCTGGGTGACAGGGTGAAATTCCAACTCAAAAAATAAATGAATAAAAGACTTGGAGTAAGCTTAATTACTGTGTGTTCGTGGTGCTTCAAGATCATTGTGATGGAAAGAAAATGGAAATTTGAAGCATAAAAGACCAGAGAGGTGATTCTTAAGAATTTGAACATCAAACAAGCAAATCCACTTCTGGGCACTGAATTTCAAAAAGACTGCTCACAAACTAGAACGCAAGAAAACTAAACACCTGTAGTAGTATGGAGACTTGAACTGTGGGCTAAGAAGGAGGGCTAAAGATGACACTAAGGTGGATCCCTATTATATTTTAAACAAGGTTGGGGCGGGTGGAGAGGCTTCAACCCTGGGAATCAGGATAAAGCAGAAGTCATCTTAGAGCCACAATCAGTGCTTAGTCAGGAGACCCCTCTTGGCTCTCATATTATCACAAACAAAAATCCTGAGTAGCTATCTTTTTTTTTTTTGAGTCAGGGTTACACTCTGTTGCCAGACTGGAGTGTAGTGTCACGACCACAGCTCACTGCAGTAGCCAACTTCTTGGATCAGTCCTCCTGCATCAGTCGCCTGAGTAGCTGGGACTACAGGTACACACCACCAGGACTGGCTAACTTTTTTTTTTGTAGGAACAAAGGTCTCTCTTGGTGTGAGCCATCATACCCAGGTAATTTTTTAATTTTTTTTGTAAACATCGAGTCTCTCTGTATTGCCCAGGATGATCTTGAACTGGAATCAAGCAATCCTCCTGCCTCAGCCTCTCAAAGTACTGGGTTTACAGATGTGAGCCAGCATGCCTGACTTTCATTCTTTTTAATGAATGTTTTTATCTTACCGAGGATTCCAAGTATATGTATTTTAAATTCATATTCTTTTTTTTTTTGAGTTGGAGTCTCACTCTGTCGCCCAGACTGGAGTGCAGTGGCCGCTCCCGGCCACTGCAGCCTCGACCTGCTGGGCTCTGGCGATCCTTCCGCCTCAGCCTTCCAAGTAGCCGGAATTACAGGCATTCACTACCACACCTGGCTGATTTTTTGATTTATTGTAGAGATGAGGTCTCGCTGCCCAGGCAGGTCTCCAACCCGCGGGCTCAGGCAATCCACTCACCTCGCCTCCCAAAGGCGCAGGATTACAGGCTGAGCCACCGAGCCCGGCTAAATTCATATTCTTATTGTCCTATTATGTTTAGCCCGTTTTATCTTAATGTTGATTTTGTTTTTCATAGTCTAAATGTTTCTCATGTGATAGTTATTTTTTATTTTAAAGATTCATTGTGATTGGGGCTTCAGTAAGAATCTAATCTGTTTCTTTTTTTTTTTGAGTCAGAGTCTCACTCTGTCACCCAGGCTGGGGTGCAGTGGCATGCCCACAGCCACCGCAGTCTCAACATGCTGGGCTCAGGCAATCCTGCTTCATTCACCTTCCAAGTAGCTGAAACTATAGACATGCACTACAGTGCCCGGCTTATTTTTCGATTTAGTGTAGAGATAAAATCTCACCAAGTTGCCCAGGTTGGTCTTGAACTCCTGAGTCCAAGCAATCCTTTCACCTCTGCCTCCCAAAGTGCTGGGATTACAGGCGTAAGTCACAGAGCCTAGCACTGAGTACCTAATTTAAGACTAGAGTCTGGCAGGTCCCAGTGGCTCAAGCCTGTAATCCCCGCACTATCGGAGGCTGAGGCGAGAGAACTGCCTGAGCTCAGGGGTTCAACACCAGCCTCGGCAACTTGGTAAGATTTCATCTCCACAGTAAATCAAAAAATAAACCGGGCACTGTAGTGCATGACTATAGTTCCAGTTACTTGGAAGGCAGAATGAAGCAGGATTTCCTGAGCCCAGCAGGTTGAGGTTGCGGTGGCTATGAGCATGCCACTGCACTCCAGCCTGGGCGACAGAGTGAGACTCCGACTCAATAAAAAAAAGCCGGGCTCGGTGGCTCAGCCTGTAATCCCGTGCCTTGGGAGGCTGAGGTGA